ATGTCAGTGCTGAGAAGCGCTGTAGTGAAGAGAGACGGTGGCAGGACAAAGGCTGCCATTTTCCCATGCCCGACTGGCTGTTCCTCCTCAAGACTTGTGCTAGTTCTGCTGACTTGCCCAAAGAGCTCATACATCTGCTCAGCAGTCCCGAATAAGACAAGGGTCTTCTCAGCTATGGCTGGGCTAGGCCTTGGGCCAGAGCCTTCTAGCATTCTTCCAGGTCAATACTACTGCTGTCACTGGACAGCTCTGGCTCTACCAGAATTAACAACTAAGTGGGGGGGGGCGCTCAGTGGAGTAGTCTCTAGCAAGGACCCATAGACAGCTCCTCCTAGTATGGGCATGACACCAGCTGGGTACTTAAAATACAACTTGTATCATGGGCTCTCTTGCACCATACCTTAAGTACCTTCACCTTGGTCTAGCACTGGTGGCAGTCTTGGCTGTCCCTGCAAGCTGCCATCTCTGCTGTGATTTGCTCATAAAGAACCTGGTTCTCATGGCTGTTCCTGAGGGACCTTTGGGAGCTCTCCTCATTCAAGATAAAGAAGGTGTTCATGACCCTATGCTCATCTACAGTTCATGCAAAGCTTCACGGACAAAGATATTTTTCAGGTGCAGGCAGTGTGGTGCATAAGTGGATAAATTCTTGAGATCATGCTGCATTTGAGAAGCCAAGTTCCTTGGGTGGCAGTCCCAAAAGTGGTGCTGCAGCATACCTTTGCACCTTGCTTTACAAGGCAAAGTCACATGCAGGGTCTATGACTCCAAGGGTGTGGAGTTCGGAGCAAGTCAGAAGGGCTACACTGGGAGGGGGCAGGGGTTGAAAGTAAGAGTACAGCAGACCAACCAACTCCCTAATCAAGCTCTGCTGGAAGGTACATACTTAACATGAAACACTTCATAGTAGAGCACTTCAAAGCCATTCCTATTCCTGTTTCATCCTGAGTTATTTATTTGGTTCAGGCCAATTTGTAGAGCTTCAGTGCTATGCAGAGTCTGTTCCCTCAGTTTTTTGAGTGCTTTAAAAGCACTTGGTAACTTCGAGAGCTACAAACATTACATCTGTCCATGCTATAAGATAACGTTAGTTGGGAATAAAAGATGACACCAATGAATTTCAGAAGGACCCAAAACAAAATTAAGCAACTGAACAACATGGTGGCAAATCTGTCAGTGTCAGCAGTAAGTACAGAGTACGACAGAATTAGGCTGCTTCATGCATTATCAGGGTGGAAATTCTTTTTTTTTTTTTTCTTTCCACTACAAGTAACACACAGTGCTTCACACTTAAAAGCAAAAATGCAGAGAAAGATTAAATCCACATTCAATCCACCTGAGACCCTTACATCTATATTTGAACAATGTAAAGATTTTTCCAGTGGCTTTAAAAAAGGGAGTCAGGTTTTCTAAAGCTTTTGCATTACTGCTGGTACTCCAGAAGATGCTGCATCTCAACATCTTTCTATGACAAAAATGATCTTCTATGTAATATTTTGCTGTTGCACTGGCAACAAATAGAACAAACAGACAAATAGAAACAAGGTGTTCCATGCTCCTGTAAAGTTCTAGGCTCCCTAACGTGCAGGCAAATTAAGAGTAAGTGTGCTTTTCCACCTCACTCCACTGGGGAAGAAGATCTTCTCAGCCAGAATGCTGACCTGCTTGACCAGGCTTTAAACTAAGCTCGCTGGGGAACGGGCAAACAACCACCAGAGAAAGCGCGCCAAGCATCAACCGCAAGGTCAGCAGGTTAGGATGCTCAAGGAAACCCACTTCTATGCCAGCCCAGGAACAGAGCTTCTCCATAAGTACAAGGAAGCCTAGGGCCTCCCACAGCATACTTATTTGCCTGTACACTAATGCTAGGAGTTTGGGGAATAAAGAGGAGGAACTGGTTCTGCTAAACAAAAGTGACTATGATCTTACAGGGATAACAGACCTGGTGGGACTCCTCTTATGGCTGGACTGTGGGTATAAATGGCTATACTCTGAACAGGACAGACTGTACTGAAAAAAGGGGTGGGGGGGCTCTCTATGTGAAGGAGATCTACATGTCCCTACAAGCTGAGACTGGCAGCCAAGGAGGACAACTGGAGACCCTTTGGGACAGACTATGAGTGAAGGGGATACACTGGTAGGAGTCTACTACAGACCTCCAAACCGGGAACAAGAACTTGACCAAGAATTTGTCAGGGAACTGGCCGAGGCTGCACGCTCTCAGTGCATGTTTGTCATGGGAGACTTCAAATACCTGGACATCTCATGGGAAGAGCATTTGGCCTAATCAGATTGGTCTCAAAGCTTCCTTACATGCGTGGATGAGTTCTACCTGTCTCAAGAAGTTTATGGACCAAAAAGAGGTAAGGAGCTGCTGGACCTGGTACTGGCCAAAGGGGATGATCTAATCAGTGACCTAGGAATCGAAGGGAAGTTGGGTGACAGTGACCATGAGTTCATCACTTTCACTATCCATCGCAAAGCTGGCAGCTCAGCCAGCAATGTAGTAGTCCTCAACTTTAGGAAAGCTAACTTTCATAAGCTCAGGAGGCTTGTTCTTGAGGCCCTGAGAGGCCATGATTTCACAGGGAGGGGAGTTCAAGATGAGTGGTTGCTCCTTAAGGAAGCAATCCTAGAAGCACAAGAGGAGTCCATCCCAACCCATAGGAAAGGTGGTAAAAGGGCTCAACAACCCCCTTGGCTCAACAGGGAATGCATGGACCTCCTACATCTAAAAAGAGAAGCTTATAAAGGATGGAAGACAGGAAACACCACTAAGGAGGAATATTCTACGCTGGTCCTCACTTGCAGGGAGTGACCTAGGAAAGCCAAGGCTGCAATTGAACTCCAACTGGCTACATGAATCAAGGACAATAAAAAGTCCTTCTTCAGATATGTCAAAATAAAAACACGGGCAAACTTGGACCCCTGCTAAACCCTTACTGACACCCAGGAAAAAGCCAATCTGCTTAATAATTACTTTGCATCAGTTTTTCATCAGCCCAAAGGGATCACCCTGCCTAACATGATGTGGGATGAGCAGGGTGAGGGTGAATATATGCCCACCATTGGCATGGATCTTGTGAGGGAACATCTTAAGAGGCTGGACCCCCACAAATCAGCTGGTCCAGACAGACTGCACCCAAGAGTGCTAAAGGAACTGGCAGACATCATAGTGCAGCCACTGGCAAGGATATTGGAGAACTCGTGGCACTTGGGCAAAGTACCTGAGGATTGGAAGAGGGCCAATGTGGAGCCCATCCTCAAGAAAGGGAGGAAAGACGACCCAGGAAACTACAGGCCAATCAGTGTGACTTCAATCCCTGGGAAGATTTTTGGAAAAAATTAGCAAAGAAACCATTCTTGACAGGCTAACAGAAGGCAACATTCTGAGGGATAGCCAGGACGGGTTTGCTGAGGGTAGGTCTTGCTTGACCAATCTCATTTCCTTCTATGACCAAGTGACATCTATGACCTGGACAAAAGGGAAGAGGTTGATATATATTTGGACTTTAAAAAGCCTTTGCCCTGGTAGTCCCATGATGTCCTCGTAGAAAAACTGGGCAACTGCGGCCTCGACGTCTCCACAGTCCGATGGCTGGGGAACTGGCTTTAGGGACAGATCCAGAGAGTGGTAGTTGATGGAACCAAATCAACATGGCATTCAGTGACTAGCGATGTCCCCCAAGGCTCCGTTCTCGGACCTGTACTCTTTAATGTCTTCATGAATTATCTGGACACTGGTGTCAGAAGCGGATTGGCTAAGTTTGCTGATGACACCAAACTTTGGGGAAGAGTGTCCACACTTAAGGATAAGCTGGTAATCCAGGCCAAACACAACAGGCTTGCAAGGTGGGAAGATGAAAACCTGATGGCATTCAATACGTAGAAATGGAAGGTGCTCCACCTCAGGGAAAAAAATCCCCACACCACACTTATAGGCCTGGCAATGCTGTATTTGCTAGCACCATAATCGAAAGAGACCTGGGGGTCACGACTCATCAAAAGATGAACATGAGCCACTAATGCGATACCACAGCTGGCAAAGCAAACAAAACTCTTGTTTGCATACCAATGCATCTCGAGCAAGACCCAGGATGTCATCCTCCTGCTGTACTCGGCTTTGGTGAGGCCTCAGCTGGAGTACTGCATCCAATTCTGGGCTCCACAATTTAGGAAGGACATGGAGAAGTTTGAAAGAGTGCAGAGGAAAGCCACACATGATCAGAGGGCAAGAGAACAGGCCTTATGAAGAGAGGCTGCGAGCTATGGGACTCTTCAGCCTGGAGAAGCACAAGCTCAGGGTGACTTGGTGGCAGCCTATAAGTACATCAGGGTTGTACATCAGGATCTGGGAGGAATGCCTCTTCACCAAAGCACCCCAAGGGATGACAAGGTCCAACGGTCACAAACTCCTGCAAGCTCATTTTAAGCTAGACGTAAGGAAAAACGTCTTTGCTGCTAGAGCCCCCAAGGCCTGGAACAGACTTCCCCCAGAGGTGGTATAAGCACATACTCTCTCTGGAAACTTTTAAGAAACACTTGGATGCTTATCTTGCTGGGATCCTTTGACCCTAGCTGACTTCCTGCCCCTTAGGCAGGGGGCTGTACCGGATGATCTTAAAAAGGTCCCTCTTCCAGCCCTAATGTCTATGAAATTAATGTGTGCTTTTCACTTCTATAATGTTATACATGGGCGAAGAATTTTGGAAATAACAATTCCTCATAACACCTAATTATTTTTATCTACAAAAGGCTGAAAAAAAACTAACACAGAACAATTAAAGAATCAAAGATTTAAACTATTTTGTGATGCTGAGACTTTTGGCTGCTCCACTAATAGCATTTAGGCTTAAGCACCTAGAATTCCTGGGAGCTGCTGTGTAGTGATTTGACCACTGTCTATGCAGCAACTGTACCTAGTAAAAACATAATTCAGAGAGTTGGTAGATTCAGCACAATCATTTCTTGTATATAACTACATCCACAATTTTTCTTACCTTCTCCCCTGGATCTTGGAAAAATTCATTCCAATTTTTAAGCAGGGACATCAAAACAGAATTATTGTGATACTTGATTAAAAAGCAAGGCAAAGCTGTAACTCCTTCTTTCTGGCAAAGTTTATCATATGCCTTCTGGAGTACTTGAATCTGAAGACAAAAGATTTATTAACAAGCAGTTAGAATTACCCTAATCAACACCTTTTTATTATTACTTTGCACTGCTGCAAACATAGTGATGGAGAAATGTTAAAAGAGCTTGCAACAATGGAAAGCTCCTGGGGCTGTAGGAGACAGAAATAGGAGCACTGGTCTCAGACTACAGTACAGGAATTTTAGGTTGAAAATTAGGAAGAACTTTGTGATTATTAGGGTGGTTAAGCACTAAAACATCCTCCTTAGGAAGCTTGTGGAATTTTTCATCCCTGGAAGTTTTTAAAAGTAGATAGACACTTGGCTGAGATGTTTTAGTCAGGATGATCCTGTCTTGAATGGGGAGCTAGACTAAATGACCTCATGAGGTTCCTTCCAGCTCTAAAACCCTATAATAAATCCATTCTAATTGTAGCGTGATATGGGCAAACTCCCAGGCCCGGTCATAGTTCCAACCTGTCACCTGACTTTGGGCAAGCCACCTGCGTTACTTGCCTGCCATGCGTTGTTGTACATTAATCAAGATGCTAATTAGACGGGAGGCTGGCCTTCAAGCACCCTTATGTTCACAGGCAGTAAATACACAACTCCAACCTTCCCTTTATCATGTCCCATGCCTCACAGATGTCATCTCTGAGCTGGTCTATGCTACGGCCTGAGGCCAGGTAAACTCAGTACATGGTTAGACCTCTCTCATGCTGCCCTGTTGAGGGCCTCACTCATACAGCCCCCCTCTTACAAGGCCTCTATCACTCCTCCTGCTCTCACCAGGCCTCTCGCACTCATGTCCTTTACTGGGCCTCATTCACTTCACCCTGCTCCCTTAAGTGACCATGTGGGTCATCACTCAGGCTTATCCCTTCTCTCCTTGACCAGCCCTTTTGGGCCTGTCCCACAACCCTCACATATGTGGTGGCCGGGCAATTAGTCAAACCCTGGGCTGACTTCGCCTCTAGCCCCACACCAGGTAACTCATCCCTCATTGGGGTCAGTCACCCCCTTTTACTCACGGCTCCTTCTGTGCTGCCTACTCAGCCTCAGGCCCACACACAGCCTCAAGGATCTGAAAACTTACCTGGGCCTCAATGCACTCACCCCTCAGCCAGGGCCTCAACTCTCCTCTCCTGGGGCTCCAGGGTCTTACCTTCCAAAAGGCTTGTGTCCTTCACTTGGGCATACCTGGCTCCACTATTCTCCCTGGGCTCTGGTGCCCCTCATTGGGTGTCCCTGGCCCAACTGCTCTCTGGGGCCTTACACCCCCACAGGCTCAGGTGCCTCACATGGTCGTGCCCAGCCCCAGTACACACCCTGGGGTCTTACACCCCTACAGGGTCAGGTGCCTCACATGGGCATGCCTGGCCCCACTACCTGCTTGGGGATCAGGTTCCCCTCCCTACTCCTCTCTGGTCTTATAACCCACCAGACTTACCTCCACGATGTTCCTTGAACAGCAGGGCAGCCGGGTGGTGTTGCTCCCTCAGCTGCTGGCAGCAACTACTGCCCCAGCCCTGAGAGCCAGGATCTTAAAATGGACGCCTCATCAGGGCTAACCTGCACCTGTGTGTTGCCTGCTCTCCTCAAAGTGGCAGACACCACAGGTGCTCTGCCACCCACCTTCCCCCTTAAAATTGGTTCCTGGGGAAGGCTTTTCCCTGATACACCCACGGCAGGCTCACTCACAGCCTGCAACAGCCCTTAAGTGATGAGCACTCCGTTGGTGCGCTCCTTCCCCCTTAAAATGGACTCCTCAAAGGTGTCTCCTGGTTGCCCTCCTTGCAGGCCCTTCTCCTGCCTGCTGCAGCCCGTACTAAGTGGCAGACACCCCAATTGTGCTCTGCCACAGTAGAAACAGCAAGAGAGAGCTATGTACTCTGATCTGTTTTTAAGTTATGAAAATTAATTTTACAGGATCAGATACTAACAAAAATTCATCACAGTAAGTTCACACATCAGCTCAACGTACTTTGGTAACTCAATTGTTTATTTCAATTGCTGTTTTTGATAAATACAGCATAATAATCAAATATGCTATAGAAGAGGTTATATATTTTTCTAATACTCATTTGTAACCAACCACCTAGAATATTCTTATAAAAACACTTCTAAACCATTTTTAGGCATATTAATTGCACTCCACAATAAAGGAGGCTAAGTTGCTTTGTGCAACTTGTGTTACTCTGTAGCAATCTGAATTAGCAGCTCTTCCACAACCCCTCACTATGGGGTTCTACTTCGTACTGATTTTTGTGGCATTAAAACTGCTGTAACATTCTATATTAAACTCCATTTAAAATCAAAAGGTACAACTGAAAAGTTTATTTTTTAAAAGTTTGTTATTTTTATGTAAAAAGTCTCCGATTGATTTATCGACTTCCCTGCTCAGTTACATATCTAACATTTTCCAGAGTATTTCTAGAATTTTTCTAAACCAGAAGAATGATGATGTTCAATTTATTTTCAGTGAAACTGCTCTGTACTATCAACTAACATTAGTTTTAGTCAAAAAAAAATTTGAAAGTCAATTTAACTTTGATCTATAAACGAAAAAACATTCTACCATAGTCCATGCATGGAGATAGAAAATATTCCCTAAAACTGGCAGACAGAAAAAGTATTTTTAATTTCACTGGTCTTCAAGGAAAAGCCTGAGGCCAATGCCAGTCAGTCATTCTAATTTCTAAGTTTTCCTTGAGAGCATTCCTCTGTGTGTAAAGTGTCTTATGCAGATTACTTTCATTTTACAACTCTTCTTCATAGTTCATAGCTCAAACTAGAGGTGCACCGATATATCACTAAAAGGAAAATTAACATTATCGGCTATCAGCTTTTTTTAGGCCAGTGTAGCTGATAAAGTTCAGTGATAAACATAATACGTCTTCTGGCCAGGACCCCCAGATACTGCATGCACGTGTGCAGCCACACGCATGCACATGGACAAGAATGCAGCTGGGCAGCATGGAGAGCAGCTCCTTGTAGGCAAGTCTGTGGAGGGGGTGGGGTATGGCGGGGCAGATCGAGGCCTCCATGATGAGGGAGTGGGGCAGGGGCAGAGACAGGGGCATGGGCTGGGGTACTGCACAGCCAGGGCAGTGAGTGTGACCGGGGGCGAGGAGCAGGACAGATCCACGGGCAGCTCATGCAGGGGACATGGGGGGAGCAGCTCCCCACTGCTGTGCATACCCCCCTGGGGAGAAGTATGGGGGGCATATGCCACCCCCACCCACCCCCAGATTTGTGCGTGGGGTGGATGCAGGCTGCTCGCTGTGTGCTTGGGGCTCTCCGCCCTGCTGCCTTTCCCTCAAGAGCCCTGTGCTGGCTATGTGCCCCCTGCCTGCCCGGCAGCAGCTGAGGCGGCAAGTTGCGTCTCCCGCTGTTGGGTGAGCAGGGGACATGTGGCCAGTATGGGCCCCCAGGGCAAAAGCAGCAGCGTGGAAAGCATAGCAACAACTGGAGGACCAGGTTCTGGCTATAGAGGAGGAAAGAGGCCGTAGAGGGATGGCTGAGGGGCATTCCAGGTGTTTTTCTATTTTTTGTTAGCTCTGCCAGGGGCAGGGTGAGGGAGAAGGAAAGAGAGAGCCTGGGACAGGCTGCAACTGAAAGGGCCAGAGCCTGAACTCCAAGCTAGACAGAGACTGAAGCTAATAAACTGGGCCAGAGCAAGTGGGCCCAGGCTACAGGTCTACAGGCAGAGTAACCTGCAGGCCAAGGCCAAGAGGGCTGAAGCCTGTACAGGAGCATGAAGGACAACAGAGCAACACCCACAAGGCAGGAGCGTAGCTGAAGGGAGAGGCTGAAGGCCTCAATTAAAAGCCCCTATTGCTTAATTAGGGTCCCAGAAAGCAACTGAAGACTATGAGTTGTGCCAGTAAGACACCAGCTGGTCCACTAGGGCACAAGAGATGCCCACAGTGAATGGCAAGGGTTTTAGTTGGTGGGCAGAGAGCCTAGAGACCACAAGAATCCAGATGAGTCAGCCAAACACCACTGAGAGCCCTCTGCCCTCATACAGAATTTAATTATTGGGAGGCTGTGTGGGGGGGGGGAGGAGGGGATGTTAAATTTGTTTATCCCACGCTGCTATAGCAGGAAAAGCAGTAGCTCCCTTGCTCCTACCCTGCTGCCCCTATTCAGGGGCAGCCTCCCATTTGAGATCAGAAGAATATCAAGGTGTGGCGGGTAAGATAAAAAGGGAGGTTATATGGAGGACCGGTCAGGCCAGGGACACACTGCTGACAGCTTCAGAGCAGCAGAGCTGCAGGAGAAGGTAAAGGCGGGGAAGGGAAGATAGGCTGCAGGGAGGAGCAAGGGGGTGGGCAAAATGCGGCCCACGGGCCAGATGCGGCCCGCCAGCCCATTCTATCCGGCCCGTGGGGCCCCTAAAAAATTTAGAAAATGAATATTTATCTGCCCCTGGCTGCCTGTCATGCGGCCCTCGCTGGCTTGCCAAAACTTAGTATGCAGCCCTCTGCCCGAAATAATTGCCCGTCCCTGGTCTAGCCCCATACCACTGCTTTTCCTGCCACAGCAGCATGGCGGGGAACAAAATTAACACAACCCCCCAATAATTAGATTCTATATGTGAAAAATTATAACAAATGCTATACATAAAAAATATATACATCTAATTATTGGGAGGATCATCTTAAATTCAAAGCTGTCTTGGATTCAAGTAAAGTTGGTACTTTACAAAAAGAAAAAACAAGAAGCACCATGACATGATAACTCATGATTTACGCATAGATTAGAGGCCTGCAGGATAGATCCTACGAGGAGAGACTGAGGGACCTAGATCTCTTCAGCCTCTGTAAGAGAAGGCTAAGAGGTGATTTGGTGGCCGTCTACAAGTTTGTCACGGGGGGCAGCAAGGATTAGGAGATGCTCCGTTTACCGAGGCACCCCTTGGAGTAACTAGAAGCAATGGCCACAAACTGACAGTGAGCAAATTTAGACTAGACATTAGGAAGACCTTCTTTATGGTAAGGGTTACCAGAATCTGGAATGGGCTTTCAAGAGAGGTGGTGTTCCCCCCTACCTTGGGGGTCTTTAAGAAGAGACTGCACAAACACCTGGCTGGGGTCATC